TTAACTCGTTAAGGATTGTATTGAACTTCTCCCTGTCCTCAGCAGCATCTATATTAGCAGGTGAAGTACCCCAAATGCGTACATATCCAGACGCACTTGCACATTTAGGCTTGTTCTCATCTAGATACTGCTGGATAGGAAGAGACAACTTCAATGGTGTTTGACCTCCAAACTGCACAATGATGCCATCAGGTTTTTCCAAATCAATTATGTTCAGCACATCTTCAACAGTCAGTGGCTCAAAATATAGACGGTCACTCGTGTCATAATCTGTGGATACTGTTTCAGGATTTGAATTCATCATAATGGTCTCATATCCTGCTTTCTGTAAAAGAGAAGGAGAGAAGCAGGCATCTCAATGAAGGATTTGAACAATTTCAAATATCAATCCATAGACTCCACCAATTCATCAAATTATATAAATAGTAGGCAAACTTTTAGATTGGTACCTACGATGGCACAGAAAAAATATAAATAATGACAGGAAATATCTAAATACGTTTGCATGAAAGTGAATTAATACACAGGAGGAATCCTGTAATCCAGAAGTTCATTGTTATAACAAATGCGCCAAATTCAGTATATCCCATAGAACTATTTTAGATATGCAAGTAACTAAAATTTCTCCTTTTCTACTACAAGCTATTATGAATGCATCCAGATCTCTTATCAATTGTACCCAAATTGTAGTTTATGACACTCGCCGCCTCCAAGTGTAAATCCTAGAGGCATCTCGACTAAAGTTATCTAATTTTAGTTCTCATCAGGAGAAAAAGGTGCAACGATCACCCAATTTGTAACTGCCTCAGTTCTGTGATCCCACTGCCACATGTGAAAAATAATGCATGATTTATGATTAGGATATGTCATGATTCAGAAATAAAGAAATCTAAAACCAATTCCATTCAGCTAATGCACCCTAGTGATTTTAAGTTAATATAAGATATCTAAGTACCTAGGAACTTGCGTTCATGAATGAAAAAGGTGTGGTAAGAGAGGGGGTTGAAAAAGGAAGGGCAGGCAAGTGGGCAGTAAACATATCAGAGACAAACCTGAAGGGCAAAGGACGTATGGCAACAACAGTAGTCAAACTCTATCCCCTGACCGATTCGATTTGGTCCTCCACCTAAAATCAAAACCTTCTTCCTCTGGGTGGGAGCTGCTTCACACTCAAAGTCATAGGAAGAGTACATATAAGGAGTATTGGCCTCAAACTCTGCAGCACACGTATCCACCCGCTTATATGCCGGAGCAACACCTAAAGATAGCCTCTTCAACCGGACGTCCTTTTCAGTGGCTTTAGTGGCAAAAGCTATCTGTTTGTCACTGAAACCTCTTTTTTTCACTTCATATAACTCATCCTTTGTTAGATCGGACAAGTTTCTAGCCAGGAGAAATTGCTCCACATCTACCAGCTCCTTAAGCTGTGTGAGGAACCATTTGTCAATGTAACTCAACTCATGAATATCATCTACCTTCATCCCCTTCTTCATTGCAGCATATATGGCATGGATGCGGTCTGGGTTAGGAACTCGGAGGCTATACTTCAACTGTTCCCAATCCCAGTCAAGTTCCTTAATTTTCGCACAGCCCCATCCAGAGTACCCACATTCCAAAGATCGAACTGCTTTCTGAAAGGACTCTTGAAATGTGCGACCCAGTGCCATTGACTCACCAACAGATTTCATTTGGGTAGTCAATATGGGCTGTGAACCAGGAAATTTTTCAAATGCAAACCGGGGAATCTGCACAATTCAATAAAACAAAAACAAGAAAATTGAGATGACATACAAAACGGATCTAAAAATGCATGGATTAACAGAAATGTGTTGCTATAAATAAGATAAATGACGACAATGATTGATGACATTCCTACTGGCATAAGTAATAGTGATTAGCATATTATCCAGGAAGCTAATGGACAATGCCATCTAAAATTTGACAAAAAAAACTCAACTCCTGTGTAAGGTCTAACCATTACATCCAAGCTAGGACTAAAAATGTACAATAAAATCTCGCAATACCAAAGACAGACATACGAAAAAGAAAATTTGAATATCCATAAATGAAGCAATCAAAAACTAATTAATCCAGGAATACAAAGCTCGATGTGTTTAATCATAGTGCGCTACAAAAAGGAAATGAAGAAGGTAATGAATAAGCACTTACCTTGGTTACCACATAATCTATGGAAGGCTCAAAACTAGCCGGTGTTTTCTTTGTAATGTCATTAGGTATCTGATCCAAGGAATACCCAACTGACAACTTGGCAGCCATTTTCGCAATTGGAAAACCAGTAGCTTTGGAAGCAAGAGCTGAGGACCGCGACACCCTTGGGTTCATCTCAATCACCATAACCTCACCATCTACAGGATTAACCGCAAACTGCACATTAGAACCACCACATTCCACTCCAATCTCCCTTATGATAGCAATGGAATAATCCCTCAGCCGCTGATACTCCTTATCAGTCAAAGTCTGAGCAGGAGCCACAGTGATTGAGTCCCCAGTATGAACCCCCATTGGGTCAATATTCTCAATGGAACATATAATCACCACATTGTCAGCCAAGTCTCTCATCACCTCAAGCTCATACTCCTTCCAACCCAACAACGATTTCTCCACCAAAACTTGAGACGTCACACTTGCCGCTATCCCGGCCTTGCAAATGTCCTCAAACTCATCTTTGTTATAAGCAATGCCCCCTCCAGTCCCGCCCAAAGTAAACGCAGGCCGAATAATCAACGGAAACTCTCCGATTTCATGAGCAATTTCAATACATTCATCAAGCGTCGTCGCAATCCCAGACGGCGGTGTCTTGACACCGATGTTCTTCATGGCCTGCTTGAACAAGTCTCTGTCCTCTGCTTTTTTTATCGCCTCCAGCTTCGCTCCAATCAATTCGATGCTGTATTTGGCCAGAGCGCCGCTCTCGGCCAACGCCACGGCAAGGTTCAACGCTGTCTGGCCACCCATGGTGGGCAACAGAGCGTCGGGCCGCTCCTTCTCGAGGATTTGCTCGACCAGCTCGGGCGTCATGGGCGTAATGTAAGTCCTGTCAGCCAAGTCCGGGTCGGTCATGATGGTGGCCGGGTTCGAGTTGATCAAAACTACCTCGTATCCGTCCTCCTTGAGAGCCTTGCAGGCCTGAGTGCCCGAGTAATCGAACTCGCAGGCTTGCCCTATCACAATCGGCCCAGCTCCGAGTATCAGGATCTTCTTTATGTCCGTTCTCTTCCCCACTTTCGGCGGCTCTCCGTTCGCCGCAGCTCCGGCGTGGGAAGACTCGCTCCGGACCGAGTTGACTCGGCGGCTCGGGTGCTTGGTGAAAGTGGCGAGCTTTGAGGGCCATGATCGGAGGTGGAGAGTGGGCGCGGCGGTTCTGGCTCCGAGCTTCTTAGAGTAGAGGAAGAAGCTAAAGTGGTTTGGTTTCGACAAATACGGCTTGGAGTTGGCGAAAATTGAGAGCTTGGGAGAGAGAGCTGCTTCACTGTGACTGAGGCAATGGTCCATTTTCTCCCTGTAATATAAACTATCACAAGAGAGACTCAGAGCTCAGAGCTCAGAGAGAGAAAGAGAGTTTGTGGGTTGGGAAATTAGGGTTTTAGGAGGGAGGGTGAGGAAATGGAGGTGGATTTTGAATGTAGGCCAGTTTTGGTTTTGCTGAAGAAGCAGTGTTCCTGAGTGGAGTATTTGTTTGTCTTTTGGTGAGGAAGCCAACAAAACAGTGAGACAGAGGGCGACGCCGTACTGGGCATCTGACATTAGGGTTTTTTGTGCAGTCAACTCAAATGAATAAAATTTCTTTTTTGGATTTGGGCTTTTTATGGGCCTGCTTTTGATTGGCTCTGTCTTGGTGGGTCTTAAGTCCGGCCTGCCCATAATCAGGCACAAAACACCCAACAATTGTTTATGGACACCCAACTCTTCAAGTTCTTCTTACCATAAAAATAAAAAAGTAGTCGATTCTAAACAAAAAGTTTAAGTTTTTTCCTTAACAAAAATAAGGGGGGGAGAAGGAGAGAGATAGAGAGATTTGACTAGGGGTGCAAGTTATGGCTAATTCCCATCCGAAATTTTCCAATTTTGGCAAGTCCAAATAAATTTTGAAATCTGAAAATTCCCAAAAATGTTGGATTGAAATTGAAATTTATCTCGAGATTCTGAAAATTTCCGAATTCCAGAATATATATTTCAAGCTTAGAAGACATACAATTACTAATTTCATGTTGAACAAAATATAATTTAATGACCAAATTAGACAAATTATTTCATCAAGGATAACAACATCCAAGTACTAGAATATGATTTTTAAATATTAGAAATATATTGGGTTTTTCAAGCCTTCGATATGTTTTTTAAATTGTGAGTCAATTTTATCCGTTCAAATGGTTATGTTTCAAATTTTGAACTAGTTCATGAAATTTTCAAAAAATCGAAATTATAAGTTTTGAAATATTCTAGAAATTCCGAAATTTTTTGGAACGGAATTGGAATAGAATTTTCATTCTGAATTTTTTTGGATTGGAATTGGAATCCCCTTATTCTGATTCTATCTATCCGAAAATGAGTCCTACATTCGACTCCAAACAAAATATTGGGATAAAATTGGGAAAAGGGAAGTCCATATTTCATGTTGCATTGCATGCCGCAAGAGAAACAGATAACAAAATCAATCTGGGCCCTTGTACTACATGCAGCAAGTGACAAATATGAAACAGCAATAGCATTTCTGCTGGGAATATGTCAACTATAACACATGGTAGACATGTCTTGAATCAACTACACTAAAAGAGTCTATATAATATAGTGCCTTGGTCATCCTTTTTTTTTTCTTTCTCTTTTGGGGTCTCACGAGTCACATCCACGATGAACTAAAACATGGATTTCAGATCATTATGCATTGCCGGTGGAAATAGTTTCACGATACTCCAATAAGTAAAAGTTTCACTACTTAATAACAGTAAAACAAACCCAACGCAAGACGTAACACCAAAAAGTTGCCAACTATTTGCAACGTACAATACGAATGGAGAGAAAATTGCTCAACATAATGTATCAGTTCACTAATTAAACACTTCCATACTCAAGAACACATGTCCAAAGAAGAAACACTAGAAAAACAGTTTTCTCTTCCTAGTGTCGTTTAACTTCAGCTTTCTTCTTCTGCCAGAGTCGGTCCAGACCACTGTCGGCATCTCCCTGAAGAAAGAGAGCAATAGATCAGAAGTAGAATTAGTGAACTGACAAATTGCAAGTGCCTGAATATGCTGGCATTACATGTATAGTACAATTAGACAACTGCATAAAACTGGCATATCATGAACTAGTACTGAAATGAGGGTAAGAAGGAGGACCTGAGCAAGGACGTAACCACAGAGAGCAGAAGTGGAGAACTGGCCTGTGTAGATGCCATTCTCATCCAGATGCCCGACGTTGATCTGAACCGACGCATGGTCCTTTGAAGTTATCAACCTGTTGGTGGCCGAGCTGTGTCACAGATCACACAAGTTTAACAGAATACCATCACATCAAAACCACACAAACAATCGATGACACAAAATTTTGATTAGTTTAGATTGATACCATTTCCTGGGAACGTAAAGCTCAGTGAAAACTCCCTCTTCGTTTTGCATCTTGGTCATTGAATCGACTACAACGGAAACAAATCTGATTTTTCTGATAACAGTTTAGAAGAGGAAGCTTAAGAATTAAGAAAACTAAGAAAGAAGAAGAAGATTCAAGAGAAAATGATATGCAATGTATATTGATTTCACGGAATGATTACAATCGTAGTGTCATCAGTGTTATATATCTCAATAACCAAGACTTAACAATCTAACTAATTACAGCTAATACTAACTAACAACACATGAGCACACACGTTGACAGCTTAACTGAATATAAGCTAACTAATATTGTTGTCAACCCCCTCAAACCCAACTCTGGATCCTACTACGGATTTCCAAGTCGCATACTAATACAGTGACTTAAGAAAATAGGACTATGAAGTCCTTTAGTAAACTCATCTGCAATTTGCTCTTGAGTAGGAACATACTAAACAGTAAGATCATTCCTTCGAACCCTTTAACGCACAAAGTGAAAATCCATATTCAAATGTTTGATTCTTGAATGATATACTGGATTACTACTAAGTGCCAAAGCAGACAAATTGTCACAAAAAGATTGTAGGAGGTTGAGGCAAGCACACTTTCAAGTCTAGCAAAACCTGTCGAATCCAAGCCAAATCTGCAGCTGTATTAGCCAATGCCCTATACTCAGCCTCTGTTGAACTTCTAGATACAGACCCTTGCTTCTTCGACTGCCATGAGATAGGATTACGTCCAAGCAATACCACAAAACCTGTAGTTGACCTCCTAGTATTTAAGTCCCCCGCCCAATTAGCATCACTATAAGCTTGTAACTGCCAAGGTCCATGAGTAAAGTGAATCCATAATTCATGGTACCTTGAACGTATCTCAAAATTCTTTTGACCACGTTGAAATGTATCTCTATGGGAGCAGTCATATACTAATACACAGTATTGACAGCATAGGATAAGTCAGGTCTTGTGAATGTCAAGTACTGTAAAGCACCAACAATACTTCTATAAAATGTAGGATCATGCAATGGTTCTCCTTCAAACTTTAAGACTTGATTATGTGGCTTGCGAGGAGTGGGACAAGCCCTACAATTACTCAGACCAGCCTTGTGCAATAGATCTTTAGCATACTTGTGTTGATGTACAAAAATGTCACCTGTAGAATTGTAAGACATTTGAAGGCCAAGGAAATAGGTAAGTCAACTCATGTCCTTGATCTCAAACACAGCTCCTAAATCATCAATCATTGTTTGCACTAACTGTGCATTGGAACCTGTCAATATTATATCATCAACATACAATAATAAAATGAATGCTTGACAAATAAGCTGGGATCAGAGTGAGATGATTGGAACCCTATAGCTAGTAAATATCCTGTAAATTTGGCATTCCATGCCCTTGGAGCTTGCTTAAGTCCATACAGAGACTTATTCAACTTATACAAAAACTCAGGATGCTTGGAGTCTTCAAAACCTTGAGGTTATCTCATAAAAACTTCTTCTTAAAGCTCCCCATGTAAGAACGCGTTCTTAACATTCAATTGCCTCAAAGACCACTTGTGCATAGCTATGAGACTGAGAATTAACCTCACTGTGGTATGCCTTACAACAGAACCATGAGTACTTGGTCTTTAGTCCCTTGTCCTCAACAGAAAAATAGAGTTGGTTTACAAAATCAAGAGACATGAAAATGCTTCTGTTGCACGGTATAAGGCTCGACTGGTAGCTCAATGATACATATATTTTTTTTATAAAAACAGTATAGTCGATCGGCTATACTACGGTTTTTTATTATTAAAAAAAATATGAATTAATGTGAGAGGCTGTACGATTTATTTCTCATTCCGTATTTTACTAACTATAAATGAATGTGAGAGGCTAAGATTTTTTTTTTTTTTACTTCTTGTAACAAAAATGCAAGATAGTGATTTTGTAATCTCTTTGCCAACCAGAGCAACAATTTCAAACAAAGATTTATAGATATAGTATAAGAGAGGTGGTAGTATTCTTCATGTAAAGTGTTGTTTGAAAAGTGAAGCAATTATCAAAAACACTTCAACTCAACATGTAATTCTCTACGACAAATAATGTGTACAATAACATAATTTAGTATTACTCGATAGAACGAGGTCAATCAAAGGCAAACATTCCCCCCCCCCCCCAACACACACACACACACACACACACACACAAACTATGTAATTGATTTATTGTGAAATTTCTCTCTCTTCGATATCTGCTTTGGATGTTGAAACTAGTAAATTAATATCTTCAAAAAAGCATTTCAAAAAATAGTACCACCGTGCGGCTATACTCGGATTTTAAAATTGATTTTTTTTAAAATAGTATAGCCGTAAGACTATACTCAGTTTTTTCTTATTTATTCACAAAATAGTACAGCCGCTCGGCTTTATTGGTTTGACACTTGGTGCCTATGCGCTGGAACTGGTGTTTAAAAAAAATATATATATAGTATAGCCGGGCGGCTATACCAGGTTTTTTAAAATTTATTTTCAAACATGGAATAGCCGCACGGCAGTAACCAGTTTTATTAATGTTTCTTAAAAAATGGTTTAACCGCTTGGTTTTACTTGTTAGACACGTGGCGCCTATATGTAGGGGTGGGTCCTCTTTCGTATCCTAAATCCTAATAGTATAGTTTGGCGGCTATACTAGTTTTACCTAATTTTTTAAAATAAAAATTTTAAAACAGGCAAATTTCGCCTTCATAGACCTGTGCCGACAAACGTTCGCCGTGAGAGGTTTTTTTTTTTTTTTTTTGGATTCTAAATTTTGAAAATATAAAATTACTTTCTTAAGATAATCAAATTTCTCTAGAGTTATTACCCATATAAAGATTTTAGCACTATCACGTTTAATAATGTATTATACACGTACACACGTATTTTTTAATAATACATCCATGTTGTGCAAACATCTTAAAGACTCAGTTAAGTTCATGTTTATAAAAAAAAAATGTACAATACTCGTATTCTATAAGTATATACGTATTTTTCTTGTTTAATGCAAGTATGTTTTAAAAAAATTTAAATAAGACACACAAAATTCACGTATTATATACATAATTCTCACAAATTATAGAATAAAATAATATATATTATAAATAATGTAAAAGATATAAATAATTTTTTATTAAAATATAATATAGTGGCCGAACTTTTAAGTTGTAATGTGCCAAAATTTTGCCAAATAAAACACGTACATATTTTATTCGTATTTTTTCCCTTTCCATATTTTACTAACTATAAATGAATGTGAGAGGCTATGATTATTTCTTACTTGTTGTAACAAAAATGCAAAATATTAAAAATATAAAATAAAATAAAAGATGATAACTGCTCAAAAGAAGGATAACCCACGTTGTGATGTTGGCAGTTGACGCTTTCTACGAACTTCAAACTCAGGTGTTTCTCTTTTCTGCTTTCTGTTCAATTTTATTTAAATATTATATTTTCGTTCTGCAGATTATTGATAAAGCAAGCATTTACTTTTGAATTTGGGGTTTTTTTTAATCGAATCTTTCTTCAACTTAATCATATTTGTTGTATTGTTTGTTGATCTGCTATCATGCTTGAGATTTTTTTCTTATGATTTTTTCATCTGTGCATACAATGGCATGTTCACTAATCCGTAGAATCTGTGCATACAATGACAGAAATGAGATTTTTGGTTTCAGCCGTAGAATCCATAATCAGACGCATCTACAACAATGGCATGTTCACTAATCCATTTTCGGAATCAGGCACACTCAAGTGGTCTTCGACACATACAAATATACGTGTTTGCAAACACACATGAGTTTCACTTACTGTACTAGTGGAAATTTGAACAGAAAGCATAAACTAGCCGCAAATTAAAGCATTTCTTTTTCTTTTTGGTAGGAAATATAGTACACTATCTTCAAAAATCACTTTGTAAAAACTCTCCCTTCCCTTCCAATCCCAATCCTGGCATTGGGGCAAGTATCTTCCATCATGGCTAACTAGTTCCAACTTCTAACCAAGCAAAACATCTAAAGAGTTTGACTGGTATATATAAACCAGACAAGAAACAAAAGCGTTTTAACTTGGAAGATTAGTTTAGTTAACATAAAGATTGGTACGCAACATAAGTTCAATCAAGGAACAACAGTATATATACCATTATCAGCCGCTATCCCAATATAACACACTCCTCTCCAGAACATCAATGAATTGCCAAAGTCTAGGCTCATTATTTCATCCTCAAACTAGAAGCCATTAGTATATAATTATACATTATGTGGGAAGAGAGACAAACCAACCTTTGATTTTAAAAACCACTGAAATGACTTCATGGTCGTCAAAGGTGCAGCAGTTCCAAAATTCATTGTCCACAGATGCATATTTTTCACAGTGATCCTTTTATCAACGGCAACAAAGCAGGATCCACTTCATCTTTCGACAGTAAATTAACTATCAGCTCCGTTGTTGATGCATCTGCAGAAAAACCCTTCTCTACCATTGTTTGAATAAATACCATCACCCTTGATGTCTGTTTATTATGGATGAACCCTCGGATAATTTTGTTAAAGGTCCAACCATCAGGAGAACAGCCTTTCTCTTCCATTTGGATAAGCAAATTTTCTGCTTCACTTGTTAGGCCTGCAAAACAGAGTCCACTAATCATTATAGTGTATGTCCTCACATTAGGTTGAAGTCCTTTTGATGATAAACCACAAAACAGATCCCTTGCAGATTCAATTTTTCCAGCTATGCACAAACCTTCAATAAGAATATTGTAAATCACAATATTACTATCCAACTTCTTTGCTTCCATCTCTCCAAACAATTGCATTGCCCTAGAAAGTTGTTGGTTTTTACACATGCCATCCAGTAAAATAGAATAAGTTTGAACATTTGGAAGTTGGCCACAAGCTTGCATCTCAGAGAACAACTTTTGTGCATCCTGTATTCTACCCACTTTGCAAAAACCGTCCAGAAGAGTGCTATAAGTAATGGTATTTGCAACCAGTCCCTTATGAGACATATCCAGA